CAAATTACAGGTAGGTCTTTGGTCTCTTTGTACATAATCTGTTACGCCCGAGTTCATACAGAAGTTACTCTGTTACTCTTTTCGTGTAGAACCCATGCCCTTCTTCCAATTTTTCATGTTCGTTTCATTAACTGTTTCTTTGTGTGGGCGCTTTTGCCACCTCGTATATTTATATGCAGATTTCGGCACTTTTATTTTTCAATATAGCTTATCGTTTTGAAATTAAATCGTGCAGACCATCAAATTTTCCAAGAAAGCGAATATTTAGTTGCCATGTAGTTTATACTTGAGCCAAATAGATTGCAGACAATAAGTAGAAAAGATGCCACTAACGCTAGATGTTTGACCTTGGTAACTATACATCGTTTACAGTTTAATAATGCAACTAAACAAATAATGAAGTCTGTGTTCTTTTTCATTTAATGAGTGTCAAGAATGTAACAACTTTGATGGCTATTAAATACATCTTTGTGATAGTCAAACAGTCTCTTGACCTTTCCATTATATCTCCAGTCTTTTAGTATACCATAAAACTAATAGAACCATCAACTCGTTTTTTTCTAGCAAATTTCTTTTATGAGTGGAATGAAGATGGATGACAAAGGTTCTACTGTTTTGTGTCAAACATAAAAATATAATCAAGATAAAAACACATCTTATAATATAGAAATATTCTCTTTGAACTGTAAATGCAACAGTTAAAGGCTCAAAGTCAAGAAATATAAAAATAAAAAAACCCAGTAAAACTGTGAGACGAAAGAGATTTTTGATAATTTCAACATTAGTAAGTAAAGATGAGTTTCCTTTTTTTAGTGTTAAAATAACCAAATTTTTTGATTAATAGGTATTTCAATGAATTATCATGCATTCTTAATCACATCATTATGTCCTTATTGCATATGATTAAAATTTTTCAATCAAACCAATCATAAATGCCCATGTATGTATAGTCTGGATAAACAAAACAAAAAAAAAGACTTTTTGACCTTGATCGGTCACTCATTGGAATTCTGCTGGTAATTCTTTTTTAATTTTGCTAATTATGAATTAATTATGGACCTGTGAGACAAACTGGTATTTTTCCAAGTCATTAGAACACATTTACTTTCTATTCAAAAAAGTATTTGCACTTTTTATTTTCAGAAAGGAAAATAATCAAACCCATCTTTAACGTAAGAATCAATAATTGTATGGATTAAAAATAATTTCTGTTTAAAAATTCGCTTTGATGTTGTTAATCTATGATTACAATTTAAAAATCAGTAAAATATATGAGATGTAAGATTTTTAAAATATCAAACTTTTATGCAAAATTTAAGACATATATCAACGTAGTTATCAATAATTGTGATGATTCAAAACATTTCCCGAGACTTCAAAAGACTTCAATTAAAACTTTGATCTTGTTTGACTCTGAACATTTTACAACAGACAGTGCTTTCTGTTTCTGATTCAATGATTAAATAACCCCCGACTTATTCGTTTTGCTATAGTTTGAATACCTTAAAACCAATCATGTTTAGAAGATTTGCTACAATCGGTATGATTCTGGTTATACGCTATTATATAACTCTCAGAAATGTTATGACAAGAGTGCTAAAACGTCTTGAAGAGTTCCTTGATGACCTCGGACCCTCTTTTGGTATGGAACTATGGTCAGTATGGTCCTCATTGTACAATGGAAGCAGTTATCTTTTCCTTAAGACAACCATTTCCTTTCGTTTTTTGGGCAACAAATGTCTTCTTCGGAACCGTAGAGCCGAATTGTGGCCCACAATCTACGCTAGTTGTAAATCGATATCAAGTGATTGGAAATCAATGTACACCAACTAATTATCAATCATATCTTTTATTAGTCATTCATACTAATGACACGTTTCCTTTATAACATTATAATTGAGTCCTGAATAATGACTTTCATTATTTGCATGGTTCAATATGTAATGTTTGGTGTAAAGAATGTCAGGTAAGTTTATAGAATTATACACTATAGATCAAATATACACTTTTTGTTATGTGAACTTTCTGAAAAGTATTCTTCTTTTCATACAACAGTGACACTTATATTCATACCCCAATGACTCCCCTTGTTTATTGACTTATATTCATACTAGTTGTTCATAATGACTCTCAAGTACATTGACTCATATTCATACTAGTTTTTCATATCTGTTCCACATTGACTCTCATGTTCACACCATAATGACTACCAAGTACAGTGACTCATATTCATACCCTGATATTTATACCACTTTGAATCATACTTCAATGTAGCTCAACTTCATCTCAATGCACCAACTCTCATACATACAATAATGTGTGATCCTCGTCAAATTCATCTGTTTTGTGGATATATGTTTTCTTGCTCATCGGTTTTCAAAACTCACGATATAAGTAAAAAAAATTTTCAAGGAACAAACATTTCTAATTCTGCACATTAAAACATGTTATATTTCTGAAAGGTAGCATGAAAATATTCAAAATAATAACCAAGGCAATTTAAAGCATTTGAATAGATAGATAATAAAACAGATAGACAATAAGGGAATAAAACAATAAAAACCGTATAATAATTGTTAAATTAGACATTCACATGTATTTTATTGTCGTTATTAGCTACTTTCTAAACACGATATAATATTTTCTTTTCTCTGATAAGATTTCCTGCTGATATAGAACTATTTAAATGTCAATTGCTTTCATGGATATGAGACATCATCGTTATATGCTTGTAGTTATATATTATAGTTTCCGTGATAAGTGTCTTCCCGTAAAATCGTGCTGGTGCCTAAGTTTGTTTTCATGAAGTCAATGTGAATTTCTTTTCTGACCCAAACGAATTTATGTTTTTCATTCGGGTTATACCACCATGGTGTTGGCAATGAAATTATACATTTATTGGCAATGTTTTGATCTAGAAGATGTAGTCAAATCATTAGATACTATCCGCAGAAGATGAGTCAACAACCTTGGTATTATCATTCAGTACCTGATGTTTACTTCAATCATCTAATCATCTTACATCTAAACTGACAGCAATGATATTTTAGCGAATTTGACGGAATATAAGTTTATAATTAAAATAATGTACATGTATGTAGTATTTTATTGACATCATTGGAAAGAGACGTTGAACATTTCTATTGTTTATATTCACCGAAGTATTCTGGTAATGTTATATTAAATGAATTATTGAAATGCTAATACACAAATGAAAATCAAAAATATATTCCATGCTGAAGGATTTGTATCAAAGCTTAGTGTTTATATATATATTCAACAGATCTGATGGAAAAGAAATTGTTTATGGATATTTCAATGTCTAGCCTTGAACAGAAAATTGTACATGGTTAATGGAATGTTTGATATACATTATGGACATAAGTAACTATTCTCTGACAGGGGTGCACAGGGGTGCGAAAGCCATTTCCAATCACGGGTCATCTTCACAATGGTCAGTGCATTACGTCTTCATCTTATACATTGACTGCAATGGCCCACTTTCTTGTTTCACGGTTAGCGATTTGATTGGATTTCATGCGTAATTATTTTTTTACGGTATTTCTGTCGAGGATTCAAATTGGCTGAATTCGCTACTGAAATGACAAAAATTGATCTTGAAATGTCTGAAATGAATCTCTGTCCAAATTTAACCACTTGTTCTCTTTACAGTTCAATAAATACAATCCATATCACGAAATTCCTTTCTTTGATCACAGCAAACCAGAAATTTCCCTTAAGATATTGAATTTCTGTGTGGGTTTATTGCAGACTGTCGTTATCAATTTGTAAGTGGTTGTAACAAATTTAATCGCTTTAAGGAAATAACAAATTTCCAATGAACATTAAGATCAGTACCAGCGGGATCAATTATCAATAAGATAATGGACAAAATCGATGAAAGTTGGACAGAAGTCCATGAAATGCTTCAACTGGGTTAGGATTTGTGAACATGTATATAAGAAAAAGATATCTGGGGGGAATATCACTATAAACTATATACATACAGTGTATATAAAACATTTCGTACTTTCATTAAGTGGATATGATAAATCATTTTAGACTTTTCATTACAAAGAAAATTTTCAGCTTGACTAAATTTATCGACTTTAATATCTAACTTTTACCAACTTTTATCTTTGGACTTTTTATGCTGTAGTATTCCTTGGAAAACAGCAATGTATTTTCTTCGTCAAGGGACTTGGGTATTGATTTGGGGCTTAAATTATTCATTTACTGTCTAATGAAAATAGAAAATTTTATGCCCAAATTATACCAATAATAATTCATTAGTTCTGTTGTTGAACAATGAAAAGTGAAATATAGGCCGCTTTCTATACATCTGGTATCAAAGTCAAGAAGTCTCTGTAGAGTAATGAAAGCTATTTTTATCCAGATAGTTATCATAAAATCGATGTTTTAGCTTTTTAGCTTATATGTAGGAATTTTGATATCCTAAAACTTTAGTACCCAAAGATCTATAATTTCCAATATTGTTGCAAGGGTAGGCATAAAAGACATTGTCTACTTGCCATATTATGATGTCCTATCTAGGAATATACTTTGAAAGATTTTCATTTATACAAGTACTAGATTGTCACTACATTTGCAATACCATAGTTCACTACAAACGGTAACCATTTGGGCACTTATTTATGTTTACAATCATAGGGTACATTACCTTCACTAACTTCTTAGCTAGGTACGTTCATAAGCCTGAAAATATGTTAACGAACCTTCAGTGGTATCAGACATTTATTCAAGAGACATACATATATATCGGTGATTTGCATCCATTCTATACCCCATTTCTCCAACCTCTATCACCTTAGGCTTTAAAGACAACCCTTAACCATATCAATGCTTTCCGGTGAAATTGACATACAGCGGTATACTTGACGCATTACAGGCCATATTTTCTCTATCGTACAGTACAGTCCTGTGCATTGAGTTATCAGGAACCACTCTACAACTTCAGAAAAAAAACAATCATTAAATATAAATATTTATTACAATATTATATACTTACAGAATAAAAATGATAAAATCTTGTCTCTGATTGGTTGCCGAGTGACGTGAATGTGTCAGATATCTGTCTCTACGCCACGTTAAATATATGTTATCTTTCACAATGTTCGACTGTCATCATAAAACATTTTACACAATTACTGCAAGACAAACTGAATTATCACATGATATATGAAAACGTTAGAACAATAATACATACAATTTAGACGGCATTATCACAACTGATCATACGTTACACAGACGATAATTTCCCGCATTTTTGTATGTCAAAATAACCTAACTGCATTATACATTTGATTCGGATAAAAACCAACGGGAAATAAAACTTGTTTGAAAAACAACTTATCATGTAAACAAAAAAGTATACTTTAGAGATTGTACTTAACGACTTCTCTGTTCCACAGGTTATAATTTTTGCCTCCAAGAACAAAAGAAAGAACCGCAGAATAAATAGCTAGCGATAAGCAGAATAGAGTGAAATCGTTGAAATAGGCTTGACTAGTTGTGAAGCTAAAATTGTTTCTCATCTGATCAAAAAAGTTAAAATATAGGATTAAGATATGTTCCACGCACGTCTCTTTTGGTCTCTTTCAGAATAATGTACACTAAGCGATCATGACGTAGATGGTTGGGGTTGAGGTTGTTGTGGAGGTGGGTTCGAATCCTCGTCATCTTTTTCTTTCGAACCATGTTTAATAGTTCTGGTGAATGCTAAATAGTCAAATTTACCCTCCATAATTGGAGAGCAGTTAAATAATTCATCCACCATATCTTCACTCCATCTATCTCCCATTGTCATCATGCATTCCTTCAGATATTCTTCACTAATAAACCCAGTGTTCTTCTCATCAAAACAAGCGAAAGCGTTCTTTATAACATCTTCAGGATCGGTACCGTTCAATTTCTCACCGAATAACGTAAGAAACATGGTAAAATTAATAGGTCCTGGTGCTTGACTAATCATAGCGTCCATGGAATCCTCTGTAGGGTCCTTGCCCAATGAAGTATACATTTCTATCAAATCATCTCGATCAATATAACCATCTCTGTTTTGATCTATCATGTTAAATGCTTCTTTGAATTCCTGTATTTGCGCCTGGTTAAACATTGCAAATACATTGGAGGTATACCTCTGGGTGCGGGTTCGCTTATTCTTCTTGGATTTTAGGCTCGACATCTTGGATCACTTGAATAAGTCTTCCTCAAACAACAATCTATAAAGACTGAACAATTCACAAATCTTATTTGAAAACTTCGAAGAAAAATGGCGACTTCCTTCTTCCTGATAACTGAATTACTCGTCTGCCGAAATTGCAGAGTCAAGCTCTTCCAGTATTTTTCCACATAGTAAGACACTATAAACTGACTCATTATACGAGTCTATCGTATGCCAGATGTACTGTAAGGTGATAGCATCGCACCCATCCAAATCGTTACCATGGATACGGAGTGGTACACAGATCACGCTTTGTATTTATATCTATGAGTCAAATCCTTATCACGTTTTTAAGGTATCAGAAGTTGGAATAGATAGAAATCGTCTGTTAATGTGTTTTTGACATTTTCTCACTACAGCCTACTATGTTACACTTGCTCCAAATTAAGAACAGAAAATTTCTTATATTTTGTGATACGATTTTATAATTAACGAAGTTGTTCTTTATTCTGAATTCGTTCTGGATCTAGAAAATCCAGGTATGAATGTGTTTATAATATTGTAAGATTGGTCAGTTGTATTGGTAGAATGGCGTTTCAGGGGAGAGAAACGTTGTATACTACAAACAGCAATGATATTACTGATCATATATCTCGATAGTCACATCAATTTTTGTGTCAAGTCAGGTCACATTTAATCCTTTTGAAAGCGTTTCAGTCTGTCCTTTATTAAGAACTTGTTCCTTTGTAAATTTGAAAAGCTTTAATCTTGTGAGTTTGATACATATATTACAAAAACATTTTATATTATCTATAGGAACATGGCTTATCTTGGCTTGAATCATAATAATGCAATATAGTATATTATAAAAGTATATCGTAATTTTCACGGTTATAATATCTTGATTATTCTATAGATCAATCCCCAAGGGATTCCCTTGTATTAAATTCAGACCAAGCCTTATTTATTCAACCATGATAATAACTAAAGGCTTTACAATTCAACTCAGTGTAAGTATATAGGTTTTTAGTTACCCAATGGTCGCAAATAACTTATGACTATTTATAAATAACTACAACTTTCTAAGGGGAATATATACCGACAGTGTCAAATGTCCAAAAAATGGAGACCAACGAGGTAAGCTTTCGTACATCTCATATTGTTCATTGGACGAGTTTCGAAATATCACCTTGTTTAGTTGAAGATTGTACGGAGTAATTAAAAGTATATATAGTAATGGTAGTTAGATATGTTTTGATGGCTCTGCGGGTAGCATTATGTATAGTTACTCCTTCGTCAGATTTCCTCTTTATTCTTTACTTTATTCAGGGTTATGTCCCTTTTCATGCTTATGTAATGCTAGGTTTTACCTTGCATCCTGACTTGCATGTTTTGAGAAAACGGATATATCATAGATTAAGAAGAATCAAAACAAAGTTCTCAACTGTATCTGTGCCAATAGAGACCAAGTCAGGGTTTAATGTTAATTGGTACGGCGACAACAGTGAACAGTTATGCATGTGTCCACTTCATTGCAATGCTGACTTCAAAAGTTCATTAAAGAACTATTGTGTTTGTTGTGTTGGACTATAATATCGATGTGTCGGGATCATAGAAACTTCTAATCGACATTTTCAATTATAAAGTTATGTAACCTTTAACTAGAAGTACATGTCTAGAAAGATCCTCATCTGTTCTGTCTATAGCTAGACAAACAATTTATGATGGCCTGAATAGGCTGCTATCTATAGTGTCTTGCTTACTCAATTTTTAAGTACAGGGTGTTACGTAAGTGAAAATTTTCGAAGACTTATCCAAGTCTTTCATAACTCGTTTTATTGTATTGTTGAATAGAGACTTCGTTAGCGGCAGTCGTTTCTCGGTGTTGAAACACAGCACGGAATTGCATGAATTCTTGACCATTCACTGACCTTATATAGACTTTTTCATTAGTCTTTAGACATTTGCAGACAGTTGTTACTTTAAATTGTCTTTCTTCGCGTTATTTTATTCAGTTGGTATACTCCTATCAGTCAAAAAGTAGAGATACTGCCTATACCCAAAATCCACCAAGGTTCTTTATCTGATTATTCAAATAGTTAATCAATGTTTACAACTACTCTTTGGGAAGCTTTCTCAGACAAGCTGCATAGGTAGGGTTTTCATAGCCTCAATCCTATTAGATAGATAGACAATTTTAACTACATGTACACACAGATATGAAGTTGTAGGGTTCCAAATTTCAAGTTCCAATCTTGTAAACCTGCTACAGAGAGTTTAGTAACCATCTTTGGCCTTTTTCAATTTCAGATATAATTGATACCTAGATAATATTAACAGAATGATACAACATCAAGTCATTTTATTTAGAGGAGATGCAATGACTTGACGTTTTAATATAATCACCTCTTGCATTTAACTTCCTGGTTTGCCTTGCGTGATAGATATAAATTGTGTATAATGAATGCACCGTGTATCTAATGAAACGTGTTTTTGATATCGTGTTAACAAAGTCGAAGAGATTGTGCTTTACTTTGTAGTTTAGTTTGTAAAAAAATGTCACGGAGACTAATCCTACGAAATCGATTGATTCTGTGCAAGAATATTGAGTTATGACAGTTACTGAATCTGAATCGCATGTCTTTTATACTTTTAAATTGCTACTTATACGTTATGAGTTTATAATACCTTTTGATAAAAAAAAATGTATTGATTTATTTTTCGAACATCGATGAATATATTTTTCTGTCTATCCATGCATGTAGGTCACAATGCAATCACTTGCATCAATGGTTTTTCCAGCTGACCTTTCGTGTTTTATGTTAACTATATATAATCTGAATTAATCATAAATAAATGAAGCATTTTCGCGATACCTCGGGATAAAGTGATGCTAGTATAGATTTTGCGTTTTATTTGATTATTAATTTGCCACCAAATTGTGATCTAATAACAAAGGTTATCCATGTGTATAATTGAATGTACATGTATATAAATATAAAAACAAAATCATAAGTTTTCAACAGAAGCGTACCTAGTACATGCAACAAAGTGAAATATTCAAGTCCCTTCAAATGTAGAGTCCCTAGAAAGTATGCTCATTGCAATATTCCTAAGACTATTCTGTTTAATATTGATAGCTGCTGAGCAGTTGATTTTACTACACTTGATAAGTAAGACGTTTTTACTAGGTTATAGACGAATGGAGAGGAAGAATGGAATTATTGATCGTATCACTAGTTGTGTTGTGTTATTACTGGAGTATAGTAAAAAGATGACAATATATTATATTAGTGGTCAATGAGAGATTATCAACTACTAGTATATACCAGTGTAAATTAGATAAAAGATAATGATTGTTTGTTACAGGTAGAGCTTGATATGAAGAGGAGGGAGAAGGAGTTAGATTGTGACTTGTCAACCATTCTTCAACCAGTGGATCGTAAGTTCAACATTTTTCTTATTCATTATTCTATCATTAGCGTATTGATGATGCCAGTAGCTGTCTTGTGGCTTGTCGTGCCACTGTATATAGATAACAGTAAGTAAATTTGAGCGTTAACACAATTGTCAGAGGTTTATTTATCTTTCTCGGGAATATCAATGTAACCGGATCACGTTTTGTATTGTACAATTGAAAGTGCAAGATAGTTTTTTAGATAACGACCAAATAATGTTGACCGCTTAGCAGTGACCATGCTTATAATGAGTTTAACCCATACTCGGGTATCATAGCCATCAGCAACCATGGCTGTTCATGTTGTCATTTTATTTACCGTTCACATTGTATCGTCAAGGGAACAGAGTGGTTAATTGCATTCTAGAAAATGATCCCACAGGCACGTTTCATGAACATCTCCAACAATGTATAAATTATGGTCTCCAACCGCAAAGATTTCGCTACAGTAGGAAATGGATTAAATAGTTATTGTCCAGACAAGACAAAATATTGACAATGACATAAGTTGCTTTCCGTCACTTGCAGAAAGCGCTGAACACTGAAATATTTTGTTTCGAGTGAACTTTACAGTCTTGATGATCAAACCGCGTTAGTTAAGGAATGCCATTGTCGAAACATCAGGCTCTTGAGTTTAGATTTAGTTAGGTAATCGCGAGGATTTACCAATATTACCGTATCTAGTAAGGACATCGTAAAGAATGACCTACATTTGATACTGACAACGTGCCATTATTTGAAAGCTTTAAATATATTGTGTTTATTGCTTAGTGGCACAAATATCGACAAATACGTTCTTAAAAACCCCATTAAGCCTCTCAGCATCCCTCTTCTTACCAATAAAGCTTAAAGTGGCACTTAACGTCTCCTGAGAGGAAATGGATTGCTACCAATTGTTCGAGATACAATAAGAAACGATCAAGTCCCAGACGAGTCATAATAGACACTGCCATGTTAAAAACATATTAATCTTATGTAATTCATGGTTCTTTGGGGACATCATTGTGTTACTAATGGTAAAATTCAATGGTTTGAAAAGCTAGTGATAGAGAATCTATATACAGGTTAATTCAATAAGCTCATAATCGTTTGTGTTAATGCAATATACGATACTTCTAGTGATACAATTTGATGGGTATTGCTTAGAATGAAGATCGGATCAAACAAGATCATTGACCCGAGACCGAATTGTGTAATAATCTACTGGTAGATGAAAACCTGGAAAATATAGGCTAATTCAGTTCAGGTCTCTTTTTCCACACTATATTACGTCGCATCTATTCATCACTTAAGTTGTAAAATAATTTAGTGTGTATTAAAATATTGCATATCATGATCCATCACCCCTTATTCCTTTTCACCATAGGTAAAGTTCTAGGGCCCTTTTCCAACAGGCAAAGTTATGTGTGCGATTGACCTTAGGAGAAATCACACATCCATATTGCTTGTTTCAAGGGAAGTAACAAAGTGGCAAAGTTTGTACATTGTATATTTTTTTTTTGTAGTAAAATTATCTTGTATTTGTGCTGAATAATACAGATCATACTTGTCGTATTTCACTGAT